TGCTGAAAACAACCTGGAGCCTGACATAAAGGCTCTTCTACAACCAAGGCTATAAAGAAAGAGTTGCACAGAGTTGGGCAGGAAGGGAGGAAAAGCGATCTTGTTGGGACAAGTGCCCAAGGAGGGGACACACAAGAGGCAGGGGATATCACAGCCTCAAGGATCCTCCGTGGGTAGTGATGGGTTCAAGCCACATGTTGGGCCTGAGTCTGGGAAGACAAGTCCCCTTAGCTGGTTTGAAAACCAGTGGGACTTACCAGAGGGCTGTAAGAAACTGACACTCCACTCATGAAGAGCATGCACACACTTGCTTACTCCCAGGGAGCAAGGCGGAGGAAACAGACTGAAAACTACCTGGAGCTCCGGCTGGTTTCCCGCAACTGCCACAGCCTGCTCCCCAGCCTGCACCGGGTGCCCACTACAGCCTCTCTTGCTCTGGTGCAGCTCTCCACTGCCACAAAGGCTGCTGCTGCCAAGGAGAGTGTTCACACTTAGAGAGAATGGAGCTGCCTCAGACCCAACCCTGCCTCTGAACAAGGGGAAGGCAGCCATTACCAGCATGCACACGAGGAAGCAGCAGATTGAAAATTGCCTGGGGCTCGGACCAACTTGCTGGGACTGTCCCAGCACTTACCCTGGCCTGTCCCACAGGCCCCCTCTAGTACCTGTTGCTCCAGTGCTGCTCTCCACTAGGGCAGAGGTGCCATTGCCAGGGGGGTTGTGCACACACTTAGAGGGAAAGGAACCAGCTCGGACCTGACCTTCAGGGCTTCTGCTCCAGTACCTTGGGCACCAACTCTGCCCTCAGTGAGGTGGTGATGGCCGCTGAGCATAGAAGAAGCCCTGGCTCTGGCTCTAGCCCTTCCATCTCCAGCACCACCTTCTACCAAGCTGATAGCTGCCAGCACACCCTGGGGGAAGATGTGACTCTTGCTCACGTCAGATCTGGCTCTCCTACCATAGCCACTGGGCACATGTAGACTGTATAGGGATGCTCCCACAGAAGCGTCAGATAGGTAACTCTTTCACCTAACTTCATAGAGACAGAGAAAGTTAAACAAAATGAGAAGACAGAAGAATATGTTTCAAATGAAAGAACAAGAAAAAAAAAAACCTGAAAAAAATCCTAATGAAAGAGAGATAATTAATTTACCAGATAAAGAGTTCAAAGCTTTAGTAATAAGAATACTAGCTGAACTTGGGGAAAGAATAGATGAACACAGTGAGAATTTTAGCAAGTAACCAGAAAGTATAAAAACAAACCAGTCAGAACCGAAGAATACAATAACTGAAATGAAAAATACACTAGAGGGAATTAATAGAAGATTAGGTGATACAGAATAATGCCTAAGTGACCTGGAAGATAAAAGAATGTAAATCATGCAGTCAGAAGAGCAAAAATAAAAACACATTTCTGAAAATGAGGATAGTTTAAGGGGCTTATGAGACAACATCAAGCATACTAACATTTGCACTGTAGGGGTCCCAGAAGGAGAAGAGAGAGAGAGAAAGGGGTAGAAATGTACTTGATGAAATTATGGATGAAAAATTCCCGAAGCTGAAGAAGGAAATAGATTTCCAGGTACAGGAAACACAGAGAGTCCTAAACAAGATGAACCCCAGGAGAACCAGACCAAGAAATATCAGACTTAAAATGGTTAAAGATAAAGAGAGAATTCTAAAGTCAGCAAGAGAAAAATAAAGAGTCACATACAACAGAACCCCCATAAGGCTATCAGCTGATTTTTCTGCAGAAATTTTGAAGGCCATAAGGGCATGATATATTTAAAGTGCTGAAAGGGAAAAACCTACAACCTAGGATACACTACCAAACAAGGCTATCATTCAGAATTGAAGGAGAGATAAAGAACTACTCAGACAACCAAAAACTAAGAGTTCATCAATAGTAAACTGACCTTACATGAAGTGTTAAAGGGTTTTCTTTAAATGGAAAAGAAAAGGCTACAAGAAGTAAGAGTTTATAGGAAAGGAAAAATCCCACTAGTAAAGGAAAATATATAGTAAAGGATGTAGACCAATCACTTAAGTAAACTAGTATGGTTTGTGAACACCTAGAGGGGTGGGATAGGCAGGGTGGGAGGGAGGGAGATGCAAGAGGGAAGAGATATGGGAACATATGTATATGTATAACTGATTCACTTTGTTATAAAGCAGAAACTAACAACAACAACAAAAAGAAATGAACTATCAAGCCATGAAAAGACATAGAGGAAACTTAAATGCACATTACTAAGTGAAAGAAGCCAATCTGAAAAAGCTACATACTATATGATTCCAACTATATGACATTCTGCAAAAAGACAAGCTGTGAAGACAGTAACATGATCAGTGTTTGCCAGAGGTTAGGTGGGAGGGAGGGATGAATAGCTGGAGCACAGAGGACTTTTAGGGCAGCTGAACTATTCCACATGATACTACAATGGTAGATACAAGTCATACATTTGTCAAAACCCATAGAATGTACAATACCAAAGGTGAACCCTAATGTAAACTGTGGACTTTGGGTACTAATGATATATCACTGTAGATTCATCAATGAACAAATGTACCCCTTTGGGGTAGGATGTTGATAACGGGGGGAGATACTGTGCACATGTGGGCATGGGGGTATAGGAGAACGCTCTATTTCTGTTCAATTTTGCTGTGAACCTACAATTGCTCTAAAAAAAGTTTATTAATTAAAAAAAAGACAAAAATTGTAAAATCAAGTACAATGATACAAAGGTAAGAGACAAACACAAAGATGTAAGATATGTCATCAAAAACACACAATGTGGGGGAGAGGAGTAAAAAATGTAGATCTTTAAAATGTGGTTGAACTTAAATGACTACCAGTTTAAAACAAGTAGATATAGTTATAGGCCAACATATAGGAAACTGATGGTAAGCACAAATCAAAAGCCAACCATAGATTAAAGAAAAACGAAAAAGAAAGGAACACACACATACCATTTAAGAAAATCTACAAACCACAAGGGAAGAAAAAGAAGAAGAAATGAACAAAGAAGTACAAAAACAACCAGAAAACAAGTAATAAAATGGCAATAAGTAGATACCTATCAATACTTACCTTAAATGTCAATGGACTAAATGCTCCAATCAAGAGACACAGGGTACCTACTATATAGCACAGGGAACTCTTCTCAATACTCTCTAAAGACCTATATGGGGAAAGAATCTAAAAAAGAGTGGATCTATGTTTATGTATAACTGATCCACTTTGCTGTACAGCAGAAACTAACACAACATTGTAAATCAACTATACTCCAATAAAAGCAAAACAAAACAAAACAAAAGACATAGGGTGGTTGATTGGATAAAATAACAAGACCCATATATATGCTGTACAAGACACTCACTTCAGAGCTAAAGACACATAGACTGAAAGTGAGAGGATAGACAAAGATATTTCATCCAAATGGAAATGACAAGAAAGTAGGGGTAGCAGTACTCATATCAGACAAATAGACTTTAAAACAAAGGTTACAACAAAAGACACAAAAAGGGCATTATATAATGATAAATGGATCAATACAAGAGGAGGATATTAAATTCATTAACATGTATGTACCCAATACAGGAGAATGTAAATATGTAAGGCAAATATTAACAGACTTAAAGGGAGAAATTGACAATAATACAATGATAGTAGGGAACTTTTAATACCCCCCTTATATCAATGGACAGACAACCAAGACAAAAAATCAATAAGGTAACAATGGTCTTAAATGACACAATAGACAAGTTGGACTTAATAGATATCGACTTACATGACATTCCATCCCCAAAGAGCAATATACACATTCTTTTCAAGTGCACATGAAACATTCTCCAGGATAGATCACATGCTAGGCCACAAAACAAGTTTCTCAACAAACTTAACAGACTAGAAATTAGATTAAGCATTTTTTTCCAACCACAATGGTATGAAACTAGGAATCAATTACAAAAGAAAAATGGGGAAAACACAAACAAGTGGAGACTAAACAATATGCTACTAAAAGACCAATGGGTCAATGAAGAAATCAAAGAGGAAATCATAAAATACCTCAAGACAAATGAAAGTGGAAACACAACTTTCAAAAATCTATGGGAAGCAGGGGTGGAAGAGTAAGACATGGAGATCACTTTCCTCCCCACAAATACAACAGAAATACATCTACATGTGGAACAACTCCTACAAAACACCTACTGAACACTGGCAGAAGACCTCAGACTTCCCAAAAGGCAAGAAACTCTCCACGTACCTGGGTAGGGCAAAAGAAAAAAGAAAAAACAGAGACAAAAGAATAGAGACAGGACTTGCACCTCTGGGAGGGAGCTGTGAAGGAGGAAAAGTTTCCACACACCAGAAAGCCCCTTACTGGCAGAGATGGGGGGTGGCGGGGTGGAAGTCTCAAAGACAAGGAGGAGAATGCAGCAACAGGGGTGCAGAGGGCAAAGTGGAGAGATTCCTGCACAGAGTGTCAGTGCCAACCAGCACTCACAAGTGTGAGAGGCTTGTCTGCTCAACCACCAAGATGGGTGGGGGTTGGGACCTGAGGCTCCAGCTTCTTCAAAGGTCAGATCCCAGGGAGAGGACTGGGGTTGGCTGCATGAACACAGCCTGAAGGGGGCTAGTGCACCATACCTAGCTGGGAGGGAGTTGGGGAAAAAGTCTGGACCTGCCTAAGAGGCAACAGACCATTGTTTCGGGGTGCGTGAGGAGAGGGGATTCAGAGCACTGCCTCAACAGGCTCCAGAGAGGGGCACAAGCTGCAGCTATCAGCGCAGACCCCAGAGATGGGCATGAAATGCTAAGGCTGCTGCTGCAGCCACCAAAAAGCCTGTGTGCAAGCACAGGTCACTAGCCACACCTCCCCTCCTGGGAGCCTGTGCAGCCCACCACTGCCAGGGTCCCGTGATCCAGGGACAACTTCCCCGGGGAACACACGGCGTGCCTCAGGTTGTTGCAACATCATGCTGGCCTCTGCCGCCGCAGGCTCACCCCACATTCCGTACCCCATCTTCCCCCCAGACTGAGTGAGCCAGAGTGCCCTAATCAACTGCTACTTTAACCCCGTCCTGTCTGGGCAGGGAACAGACGCCCTCAGGTGACCTACATGCAGAGGTGGGGCCAATCCAAAGCGGAACCCCAGGAGCTGTGCGAACAAAGAAGAGAAAGGGAAATTTCTCACAGCAGCCTCAGGAGCAGCACATTAAATCTACACATTCAACTTGATGTACCCTGCATCTGTGGAACACCTGAATAGGAAACGAATCAACCCAAATTCGAGGCAGTGGACGTTGGGAGCAATGATATATACATATGTTTTTTCCTTTTTCTCTTTCTGTGAGTATGAGTATGTTTCCTTGTGTGATTTTGTCTGTATAGCTTTGCTTTTACCATTTTTTCTAGGGTTATGTCTGTCTGTTTTTTATGTTTCTTTGGTTGTTTTTTTCCTTTCCTAATTACTTTTTACTATTTTTTATTTTAAAAAATTATTTTTTTAAAAAAACTTTATTTTTCTCTTTCTTTTTTTCTCCCTTTT